TAGTTTTAGGTAGTTTTTTTATGCCAACAAACTTTCTAAATGGCATTTGATAACATTTATTACTGTGAGATCTAAATTTGCTTTACCTAAAATCTTTTTTTACGGACGGAATTTCTATGCTTTTTATTGTTTACTCTGCAATGAACATTTGCGGCCAGGGATTCGAATGTTGAGCAAAGAAAAACAGTAATGTTTTGCTGTAAAATAATATTTCTTTTCTAAAAACAAAATTGTGACTGAAGAGGAAACTTGGTACTTGAAACGTGGTACTTTGAACTTGGTTGATAACCCTGTGCTGTCTGTGACTAAAGGGAATTAGCTGCTTGAGCGGAAAATGCTGCAAAAGAAATTTTGGATACAAATATTTCAAATGAAGACGATATTAGAGAATTCTTCATATAGAATAGGATAGATAAATCACAAAAATTTTATTCCTTTAGAACAGACCAAAAAGTACACAATGCGCCATCGTACATTTCCTAATTCGGCAGGCAGCTTTTAGCAAAAGTAAGCGTCGCAATTCTAACATACCTTTCTTATTTATCGGATTTGGCACCTGATGACCACTTTCTCTTCCCGAAAGAGAAGCATCACATCAAGACTCACTATTTTAGAGCGTTTAGAAGATTCCGAAAACCGTCACCGAGGTATTAAAGAATATTATTAAACATAGTTTCGTGAATTTATTTTGATTTTGATTTGAATTTAATATAGTTTGATAGTGCTGTTTTCTTCAATTCTCTATTTTGTACAAACATAAACCTAAAATTTAGTAAACATGATGTGCATGAAAAATTTAACGTTTTCTTGTGATGCATTACATTGAATGTTCTCATATTGTTTTTCTCATCTTTTCTTCTTTAACACAAGATGTCTATTTGTCTCGAAACGCGATTTTGTGTTGATTCACTTTAAATGTCGTTCCTAAATGCATTGTTTCAGTTTCTTTCGAATCTGTTGGGATTCGGCAAAATGTGAAATACGGTAGCTCACCTTTGTATCGGGCACTTGTATTTTGAAAACTTATTTGCGTAGATCTTATACAAAACACTGAAACATGGACTTTATTTTTTTTTCATTATATTATTTTTTCTCTATTTTAAGACTAGCTTGTTGTAAAATAAATATTATCAAAATATATTTTACAAAAAAATATTTGCACAGAAAGTGCTAATCAGTAACTCACATAATAATCGAAATACTCTAAAGTTTTAGATATTTAGTAGGCATCCTTTTATGTTGTAGTATTTTTTGTATTAAATGAACTACCTCACAACAATATTGGACATTACAACATCTATTGGACATAACAACATCTATTGTATATTTTGGAGTGAATTGAAGGGAGAAAAAAGTAAACCTGATATTTCCTTTTATGGATATGATTAAAATGGTTCTACTGATAAACCATATTAAACTTTAACAATGTATTTTTAGACTACCTGTCGCGCCACTATCGAACTCCATGAGAGGTAAGTTTCTCTGTTACGGAATGGCAACGAGAGAGATTGTTGTTCAAAAAGATGGATGATCGACCTGAGTTGTAACGATCATTTTTGAGGATGTTGCGTACTGTAAAATGAACTTATTACACAGTGCTAAATAGTATTAAAATGCTATATATTAAAAGATCTTTCATCTGATCTAAATTTTAACAAACCGCTCATTATTTTCTCTTAAACTCACAATGTTCACGACATTTCTTGCGCCCCCGGGTGGGCGTGTTTGTTGGAAACATGTCGGATGAAAGAATAGATAGGGTAAGTTGATTACCTTATACTTCGTTTTGAAGTTATTGATTATTGTTTTACTGAAGTTTAAAATACTTTTCTTGCCTAATTTTTATCTGAATATTTTAAACTTAAGACAAAATGGAAGTGATGAAAAGAAACAAAACTGCGCAACGTTCAGCTTTTACTAAAGCATATAAAAGACTAGATGATCTTTTAAATGATGATAATGTTGATTATGAAGAAGCAGAAATGTGCTTTTATTTGTTCAAGAAAAAGGCAGAAACATTAGAATTGACGCACGGTGCTTATTTAGATACTATAACTGATGATAAAGAATTCGAAACAGAATTTGAAATAACAGAGGACTATCGAGAGAAGGCTGTTAGGATACAGTTAAAATCGGAACGATTTCTCGATAATATTAAGAGTAAATTAAACGAAATCCAAAATACATCGTCAGAGAGTAGTCAGAAATTAGTTACTGATGAAAATACATGTAAAACTTTGTGCCAACGCCTACCGAAAGTAGAACTTTATAGGTTCGCAGGTGATTTAAAAAATTGGCTTACATTTTGGAATCAGTTTAAAAACATACATGAAAATAATAACTTAACGAATGCAGACAAATTCCATTATTTGATACAGTCAACAAAAATTAAATCAGAAGCTAGAGATATTGTAGAATCTTTTCCGGTGACGAACGACAATTATCCTTTGGCTATAGAAAGCCTTACTGAGAGATATGGGCGTAAAGAACTTTTAATTGATTTTTATGTTCGAGAGTTAATAAAACTTGTTTTGGATAACGCAGCGAAAAGGAAGCAGGATTCTTTGAGTAGTTTGTATAACAAACTTTCAACACAACTTAGAGCCCTGAGCAGTCTTGGTGTAACGACTGATCAGTGTGGAACAATTTTATATCCTCTTGTGGAAAGTGCTATTCCTATTCACGTAAAGCGATCGTTTGAAAGACAACGAAAAACTACTGAATCTGAACGAAACATTTCGAGTTTTGATGCAATAATTGAATTTCTGAAAAGCGAAGTTCAGTCAGAAGAAAAAATAAAATTAAGCAGAGCGGATATTTTTTCTAAGTCTGATCGTAAGCACTTGGCAACTAGCCAAAATATTTCTTCCGCGTCGGATTTGATGAATCATGAAGCAATACCTTCTTGTTCGTTTTGTTTAAAAGATCATGAAACGCGTAATTGTAAAAAGGCGTTTTATATTCGGTTAGATGAAAAAATGTCTGCGGTAAAAAAGAAAGGTTTATGCAGAATATGCTTGGTTAAAGGTCACCTCAGTAACCAGTGTCGATCAAGTGTTAAGTGTCAGATTTGTTCAAAAAGGCATTTGAAATTTTTTTGTCCTAGTCTTGAATGTAATAAGTCTAGTGAAATGCATAACCAGGAAAATGATGAGAAAAAAGAGAAAACAATCGATTCTTTGCATTCGCGTGCTACGAATGAAGTTTTTCCTTCAGACCCTAGTTGTGAACATAGAGGGTAAGAATAAAAGGCGTAAAGTTAGATTAATGATTGATACGGGTAGCTCAAAAAGTTATGTTTTTAAAGTCTACTGCAGAAGAAATGGGTTTTGACTTGCAATGGGAGGAATAATTTAGTCACTCTTTATTTGGTGGAAATAAAACTGAAATTTTATAACATCAATGTTACAAGATTTATTTATTTGAGTAGCCTTGATGGTAAATATTCGTGTAAATTAGATGCTGTAGACCATGATGTTATTTGTAATGATATTTCAAGCATAAGATACGGTTCTTGGATTCGCGAATTAGGAAATAAGGGAATACGCTTAACCGATACCCAAGGGAATCCAGGCCCTATTGAAGTACTGTTAGGGGCAGACGTTGCAGGGAAGTTATTTACTGGCAAACGAGAAGAACTAAGAACAGGTTTAGTGGCTATAGAAACAAAATTGGGTTGGACTTTGATGGGTAAAGTACCTCAATCCGAACATCAGCACAATGTAAATATGACTATAGTTTCTATGTTATCTCAAGAAGACCTGCCTATTTCATCGTTGTGGGACTTAGAATTATTGGGTATCCGAGATCCTGTTGAACAAAAAACTAAAGAAGAGTCAAGAAGAGCTATTATGGTTCATTTCCAAGAAACAGTTCGTCAATTAGAAAATGTAGATACGAGGTTGATATGCCTTGGGAAGATTGAGCATGCAGTCTTACCTGACAATTATGACCTATCTTTGAAAAGACTCGAATCTACTACGAAGAAGTTGGAAAAAATCGGATATCGTGAAAGTTATCATAAAGTCTTTAATGAATGGCTGCAGGAAAGAGTGATTGAAGAAGTTCCCCAAAAGGAGTTGTCTTTACCCGTTGTTCATTACCTCCCACATCGTCCAGTCATTAAGGAAACGTCCTCACTATCTTCCATGAAAATTAGACCCGTTTTTTGATGCTTCGGCAAAGCTTTCTAATCAGCCATCTCTAAATGATTGCTTAGAGACTGGAATTAATTTGATTGAAAACTATTCCGTCTATTCTAGCAAGATTTCGCTTACATGAAATTGGTGTGATTTCAGACATCAGAAGAGCTTTTTTACAGATATCTCTAAATGAAAGAGATCGAGATTTTTTACGATTTCTTTGGTATGGTGATGGATGGTGATGGTAGAGTGAAGACATTTCGTCACACCCGTGTGGTATTTGGCATTACTTGTAGTCCATTTTTGCTGATGGCGGTTATTGACCATCATTTATCCAAAGAATCGTGGAAAGAAAAATATTCTGAAGAATTTCTTAAAAAATTACAAGATAGTTTTTATGTCGATAATTGCGTAACTAGTGTACAAAATAATGACGAACTAGAAATATTCATCGAATCTGCAACTAATGTAATGAAAGAAGGAATGTTTGATCTCAGAGGATGGGAAAGTTCTGGCATTCCTGCATTTTCAGAAAGTAAAACATCACCGGTATTAGGACTGGTTTGGGACAAAGATAAAGATTTAGATACCTTAGAAATAGACACCGAATTTTTTTGAAATTTGATGAAAGAGAAAAAGTAACTAAAAGGAAAACTTTCACTAGTTAGTCGAGTATTTGATCCCATAGGTTTCCTTGCACCTGTTATGATTCAGCCTAAGATTTTGCTGCAGGCCGCTTGGAAGAGCAAAGAATCATGGGATGATGAATTGAATGATGAAATAAAGAAGAATTTTTTCAAATGGGGAAAACAACTGAAATACCTCAAAAATATAAAAATTCCAAGATGGTTAGGTGTGATGAAGGAATCCAATTTAAGTATCCATACTTTTGTCGATGCCAGCAAGACAGCTTATGCGGCATGCATTTTCTTAAGAAGTGAATCCAGTATGGGTTCAGTGACTGTTCAATTACTTCAAGCCAAATCACGAATAACTCCAACGAAGACTATTACTATACCACGACTTGAACTAATGGCTGCTACCATAGGTGCTAGGCTGTTTAGTTCTGTGAAGCAAGCTCTAAAACTTCCCAACATCAAGACTTACTTTTGGACAGATTCTTCCACAGTTCTTGTGTGGATAACTCGTCGAGAACAGTGGTCGGTCAGTATTCGTTACAAACAGAATAAGTGAAATTAGAAAATTGACAAATTTCGGAAGATTGGTTCCATATTTCAACTACTGACCAGAATCCAGCAGACATTTTATCAAGAGGTTGTGGACCTAGGCAACTTCAGAAACGCAAGTGGTGGCAAGGGCCAGCCTGGTTGAAGAATCCGAAGGAGCAGTGGCCAAAGTCAGCTGTAAATATTAACGAAAAAGAAGTAGAGATAGAGAAACGAAAGTCAGTCATCTCTGCTAGTAACACAGAGCTAGAGTCAATTCCATTACAGTTAGCCAGAAGATTCTCTAGTTTTTCAAAGATGATTAGGGTTATGGCTTGGATACTGCGTTTTCAACCAAAGGCTGTTCTGTACTAGGGTAAGGTCTCCTAAAAAATGTTATGGCTTCCTAAAGGTCTGGTACCTAAAAGGTTTCCTACTCTGTTGACAAAACACTTAAAATTTTCTAACAACAGTAATATACTAATATCAATAAGCCCTGTACATTTGCGTTGTGTTTTCGGATTAACCCTGAAATCAATTTGAGAATGAGACGGGTGAAAATCATGAGCACACACACAAAAAAGAAATAAATAAACATTGACTGATCTAGAAAAGTGAGCCTATTTATTAAGTTTTTCAAGAGTTACTTAATCCATTAATTTGCAGGCAATTAATATTCAATCAGAACTGTTTTAATATTCAAGCTGAACTGTAAAATATTGCTTTCTACAAATGCATACCCCTACAGAGTAATATTACTTTTATCTTAGACTCAATAATATCAAACTATTATTTCTATTACATTCAGGTAAACATGATCAGATAAAACTTTGGATAAATTAACAATACCCTCCCCGGGGAGAAAAAAAAAATAATTAACAAGTTATACTTTTTTAAAAAAAAACATTTCACACAGAGTAATCAATACCAATGTAATTCAGGTTATTGCACATAGTAACTTTCTATTTTCAAAAGAATGATTTAACCGGGTAATATGTTAATTAAAATCAGGCTATTACATCCTACAAGCAATTTAGTCCCTAAGAGGAGCAAAGAAGCTCAAATAATGACACCTTTGCCAATCAATCTTCACCATGAAAGAAATTCACAAGTTCAATTAAATAATTTAATGAAGAATATATTTCCTTAATCAATCTAACTAAGTTACATTCACTGTTTCAATTAAATAATTTAAATAAGGAAATATTTCCTTAGCCAATCTAATAATTTACTTTATGGACAAACAAAATGATTTCATTAGAATTAGGTTAATTTACTCAACTACAATATTTTAATTCAACTAATTAAGTTATTTCAATCACTATTAACTATTTTAGTTGTTAGAATTTCTATTAGAAATTACTATTATAATTTACTATTAGAATTTACTATTATAATTTTTTTTTACATCAGACCAACAAAAAAAAGAAAACAAATAAAAAAAAACTTATCTGCGGAAATACAGGCTGCAAGTGAACAGGAGGAGGAGAAATGCCCTCATATTTAAACAATTATCAAGATGCCAAGGAGGACGGCTGCTGAGCGTAGTAGAAAATGAGAAGAGTTCATAGGTAGAAGAATTCTCACTAGAGTCCAGAAGTTACTTATGATGTAGGATGCACTAAGGAGGTTCTCGTTATTTGATTTCCAATCCAATATTGAAGTTAGCCGTGGTTTCAGTTAAGTGAAGCATTATGTAGTAGCGACCCCGGAGCTAGCGATGCAGAAGACTCTTGCAGGGCGGAAAATAATTCTTAAAGATGTGAAACATCGAGGCAGATGAAAACTCTATTCATGGAGGAGAGACTAAAATTTCTTCTTAACGGCACCAGTACTAAGCATCACCCTTCGTTGCATTTTTCTATTTTAATTATCTTTGAGTAACTTACATATTCAAGCACAAAAATGATGAAACTATAATTTAGTCGAGGTCATGATGCGTATAACTAAGTCCCTCGTTCAAAACTCCAGGGCAAGAAGCCCGTAGATCCAAAGGCGGAAAAATGCATTTTCCAAAATAAAATTCAGCTGCCAGCTAGTAGAGCGTCCGATGGTAAGTCAAAAGTGCAAAAAAGTGACCTTGTCCCTCAAAACACCCCGTTAAAAGGGAAGACGCCGGACTGCCTAGTTGGCAAAACCCACTCTTCGCCGAAAGTTAAAATAGTTGCAACAACAGCATACCCTCATGTTATCAAACTCGCCAAATCCTCTACTTTGAAACCTCAAAGGAAAATCTATGTCGCCAAACCCTCGCCAAAAAGAAAAACCACCTGTGACAGGGGAAATTAGGAATTTCAACAACCCTGCAAGGGTCCCAACGAAAGAACGCTGAAAACTCGCAGAAAGTGACTTTTCAACCGGAAAGAAAGAAGGCATTTCATCCCCCTTTAACTAAATCACAAGCAAACGAGGAAAAAAACTACTAATTAAAGCTCATAACTGAAATGCAATTAAAGTTAGAAAAACGAAAGTTATGCCAAATTAAAGAGCTAATTTTTCTGCAACTAATGATATTAAGTACTAAGAAATCAAATTAATTTTTGACATGAAAAACTGAGTTTATTACGTAGAAAGAAATACTTGTCCATTGTTTGCGTGTACAAGATTGAAGACGCAGTTCGCGTAAACTCGGAAAGCCAAAATATATTACACTAGAATTAATAGGCCCAAAAAGAATATAACCAAACTTGTGTAGCTCAAATTTTGAATAATTACAAATTAAAATTTTGATTTTTATGAATCACTTAATTAAATTAAATTCGCTACACAACAAGGCCAAGGACTTAAGAAAATGTAAGGAACTTCAAAATGAAGAATTGTTAAATGCACAAAGGACTATTTTCCGTGTAATACAGAAGGAATGTTACTCTAATGAAGAAACACGAAAAAATTTGAAAGGTCTTCTAATATTTGAAGATGAAGAAGGAATTTTACAATTGAAGTCCAGATTGATAAATGAGGAAGAATCGAAAGATTTTATTTCTCCAATAATTCTACCATCGAAACACCTAGCAGTGAGAAGATTTATAGCCCAAGATCATATTGCTAACAAGCATGCTGGAACATTAACTCTACTGACTATTTTACGAGAAAGATTTTGGATAGTGAAAGGGAAAAGAACTGCCCGGAGTGTTATCAAAGAATGCTTAACATGTACAAGGCAAAAGGTAAAACATCTTGAGGTACCTTTTCCGCCTCTTCCAAACGACCGAACAGAAGTAGAAGCAGTTTTTCAAGTATCAGGTGTAGATATAGCTGGACCTCTGTTGACTAAATCTAAACAAAAGGTGTGGATAGTATTTTTTACTTGCGCCGTATCTAGAGCTGTCCATCTTGAGCTAATATTATCACTGAGTACCAATGACTTCATCCAAGCTATGCATAGGTTTATAGCCAGAAGAGGACGAATTTCTGTGATGTATTCAGAGAATGGTACTAATTTTACAGGACTAAATAATGCTCTGAAACAATTAGATTGGACTACAATTGAAAGTGAATTTAGAGTCAACGAAATTCGTTGGAAGTTTAACCCACCCTCCTCTCCATGGTAAGGAGGCTTCTGGGAACGCTTGATTGGGATTTTGAAAGATCTTTTGAGAAAAAATCTTGGACGCTCCTGTTTGTCTTACGAGGAATTGCGGACTCTCGTCTGTGAAAGCGAATCTATCATGAACAGCAGACCGTTAACTTACATATCCGAGGAACAAGATCTGAAGACCTTGACCCCCTCAATGTTTCTTCAGGACATTCCATTAAATGATGTTCCTGATTTGGATCAAATTGAAAAGACTAATATTGTTTTGAGATGGAGACATATTCAAAAGGTTCGTGAAAATCTAAAACGAAGGTTTAAAAGGGAGTATCTGGGTTTCCTTCGTTCTTCAGTTAACAAAAGAGAAGATAAAATAAATGTAGGTAACATAGTGTTAATTGGTACAGATGATAAAAAAAGGCTTCATTGGCTGCTAGGGAGAGTACTGGAACTCTTTCAAGGAAAAGATGGAATCATCAGACTTGTGAAACTGCGAACTGAAAAGGGAAACATATTAAGACCAATCCAACGACTGTACCCTTTGGAATTGACCCCAAATTACGAGCAAGTCGTATCGGAACCTCAGAAGGTTCCGGAAGTGGTAGCTGAAAATCCTGAGCTTAATACTAACTCTAATGAAACTGTTCGCGTGTCTCGCTCAGGACGAAAAATAAAACCAGTTAAAAGACTGGATTTATAAACTTCTAAACAAACTTTTGAACTTTCTGTGTTTGAACTCTAAAATATTGATTTCAATTTGCATTCTAATATTTTGAAATATTTCTATTATTATTATGCACGTTATTGTTATCTCAAAATTGTATGTATGTATTATTATTATTTTACTGTTTTGAGTTTGTATCCCCAAACTCAAGGTGGGGAGAATGTCGCGCCACTATCGAACTCCATGAGAGCTAAGTTTCTCTGTTACGGAATGGCAACGAGAGAGATTGTTGTTCAAAAAGATGGATGATCGAACTGCGTTGTAACGATCATTTTTGAGGATGTTGCGTACTGTAAAATTAACATATTACACTGTGCTAAATAGTATTAAAATGCTATATATTAAAAGATCTTTCATCTGATCTAAATTTTAACAAACCGCTCATTATTTTCTCTTAAACTCACAATGTTCACGACACTACCTTTAAAATCTGAACCATTTTAGATTATTTCTTTATTTTTTATTTACATTATTTTTCCTTTCTCTCGGACGCTCTTTCTTTCTTCTTTAATTTTTTTACTTATTTATTTTGCTAAATTGTTGTAGGCTGATTCTCGTCAGTGTAGAAAGCTGCTAAAAATACAGTCATATATTGTATGCTAATATGCTATTTTATTTAAACTGGATTGAAACATTTCGATCTCAATATTTAACTCTTTTTCAGAACTGAAATATGTGGTATGAAAGAGCAAAACTTTTAGAATCTCTGCATGCATGTTTCAGAACAGCCTGCATGTTTCAAAATGTTATATGTACAAAATGGCCATTTATT